CCTAGGGACAGGTTCAGTGGCTCGAGTTGTGGTGTTCCAAGTGGCTGCACTGATAGTTCAGGGACCAGGACAGATGACGTATAGCTTCTCACCCCCCAAGCTGACCCGAACAAGTGGGACTCTAGGGTTTAGCTGCTCTCAGGTCATTACAGCTGCTGAAGTAGATGAAGGTAGCACATGGACAGACATGACCTGAGGCATGAGCTGTGTCAGACCAGAGGGATGGAGGCAGGAAAAGGAGGAGGCGGGGGCAACTTGTGCTGCGGGGAACAGAACTGATGAAAAAGTAGAACGAGCTATTTAAATAATAACCACGTGTTGAGGGCCACAAATTGTAAATTGAGGCTTGGGACCTTCCAACGCCATCCTCGTCCTACCCCATAAGCTGGATTGGAACTCAGAACACCTAGTTTCTTCTCATTGTAGCTGAAGCCTCTATGGTTGATGACCTTGTGGTGCCCACAGGGTAGGATAAGACTTTATGAGAATAATGTTTTTAGAAAAATGCAATAGCAATAATGAAAATTTCATCTGGGGGAAAAACAGTACCCTTATTAAGCCTTTTCTCATCCTTATAAGAATACTTCCTCTTTCTCACCAGCCCCAGCAATCACCACTGGTGTTCCCAGGGCTACTCACTAGCCCTCTAAGACTGTGTCTGTACTCAATAAATAGGAACAAGCCTGGAGACTTTCTGTGTTTGCTTATCCTGAGGGACTGACCACTCAAACCACCTTTATTCAGTCCTAAAATTGTCTCTGCCTTTTATTTCATCCTCTACTGTACCCCCAGACAGACAGAGGGGGACTTGCCTAAGTCCCAGTAAGAACTGTGCCCACAGAGATGTGATAAACAGTTAGCAACAGAGCGTGTCCTGCTGTATTCAAGTGAACCATTCCAAGCTTTCTAAGTATTTTTTTGGAGCAAACTGGGAATGTTTGGAAAGTCATTTAGAGAAAGCTGTGATCGCTGTAAGTAAACCAGGCTGTGCAATTCTGACG